TTATTTTCTGGTTTCCATTGTTTCTCTTGAGAAGTCAGTCGTCCCTTATGTGCATGTGTCCTTCTTCTCTGGGCACTTTTAAGATTTTCTCATTGTCTTTGGTTTTCAGCAGTTTAGCTGTGATGCGTCTAGGTGGGATAGATATAGATACAGATACAGGCACAAATATATAGATATGGATATATTGATATATATATCCTGCTTGGTGTCGTGAACATCTTGGATCTGTAAGTCAACGTGTGACATCCATTTTCAGAAATTTTTGGCCATTATCTCTTCAAATATTGTTTCTGCTCCATTCCTTCTCTCCTTTCCTTTTGGGATGTCAATTAAATTTATGTTAAATGATTTGATATTGTTCCATAGACCATCAAAGTTCTATTCAATTCCTTTTTCAAATTGTTTGTGTTCATGAGTTTGAATAATTTCTATTGATTTGCCCTCTAGCTTATTTCAGATACTGTAACTTTTGGTTCTAGAATTTTCACTTGGTTATTTTTATATAGTTTTCATTTATCTACTGAGATATTCAATTTTTCACTCATTATGATCATTTTTCTTTTAAATTAGAGGTTGACAATTTCTTTCTTTTTTTTTTTTTTTTTGTTTTTTTGAGTTGGAGTCTCACTCTATCACCCAGGTTGGAGTGCAGTGGCATGCTCATGGTCACCCTAGGGTCAACCTGCTGGGCTCAGGCAATCCTTCCACCTTAGTCTTATAAGTAGCCAGAACTACCAGTGCACACTACCATGCCCGGCTAATTTGTTGATTTATTGTAGAGATGAGGTCTCGCCAAGTTGCCCAGGCTATTCTCAGACCCGTGGGCTCAGGCAATTCCCTCACCTTGGCCTCCCAAAGTGCTGGGATTACAGGCTTGAGCCACAGTGCCCGGCCAACAGTGTCTTTCTTAAAGGGGCAGAGAATAAATATTTTAGGCTAGCTGGTCATACAGCCTCTGCTGCGACTACTCAACTCTGTCATTACAGCAGAAAAGCAACCATAGATAAATGTAAACGAGTGAGTGTGGCTGTCTCAACAAGACTTTATAAAAATAGATGGCAGCCAACCTGCAGGTCACAGTTTAATGACCCAGCTTTAAACGCTTAGCATATTTATTTCAACTGTTGAAGTTCCTTGTCTGAAAAATCTGGGTCATTTTAGGGTGTGTTCACATTGATTGCTTTTTAAAGTATGTCATCTTGTCTGTTTCTTCACATGTCTAGAATTTTTTTTAACTTGATGAGTATTATGAATTGCACGTGTAGAGAGTCTGGATTTTGTGGTTTTCCTCTAATAGATAATGGCTTTTGTCCTGACGGGCATTTAAGTGACTGGTGCAACATCCTCTTGTCTATCAGATAGGTTTCAGTCTTTGTAAGGGTAGGTCTATTTTGGTTTTGAAACTCATCCCAGGAATATCTTTTCCTCTCGGGCAGGATACTTGTTTTCGTAAATAAAATCTGTATGGGTGTTCTTTCAGCCACCACAATGGGCAATCCGTGCTAGGTCTCACTGAGTTCTGCCCTGTTCAGGTTCATACCAGCTCTTAGCTAAGAGTCTGAGGGGGCCGGCGGGGGACCGTGGTGCACGCCTGTAATCCCAGCACTTTGGGAGGCCAAGTTAGGAGAATCTCTTGAGCCCAGGAGTTCGAGGCCAGCTGGGGCAACATAGTGAGAACTCATCTCTACAAAGAATAAAAAAATTAGCCAGGCATGGTGGTGCATGTCTGTGGTCTCTGCTACTTGGGAGGCTGAGAAGGGTGGATCCCATCTGCCCGGGAGTTCGAGGCTGCAGTGAACTGGGGGGTGATCGTGTCCCTGCACTCCGGCCTGGGCAACAGGGAGAACCTGAGGTGGGCCCCCCGCACACTTCCGGAGCCCCTCCTCTCCAGAGCCCCACCCACAAACCCCAGCCGTGCCAGGTCAGTGAGACCGCTGTCCTGCTTGGGCTCCACTTTGGTGCTGCTGGAAGGAGGATGCCCTAGGAAGAAAGCCCGGGTGCCTGCTGGTGAGCTCAGACGCTCTTCTCCTCCCAAATGGTGCAGCCTTCAACCGCCTATTGTCCGATACCGGAAAACACTTGCTGCAGACCTTTGGTCTGGTTTTACAGTTGTTTCTAGCAGAATGTAAGTTTGGGACCCAGTTACTCTGTCATGGCTGGAGGCAGAAATCCTCCTGATTTTTCTGATTACTATCCACATCTAGCAACAGAATTCTCTTCTTAACTTAACACACTGGTCGGCGTTGACGCGTGATAGGTGCCAGCAAATGATACAGCGGGGTGGGGGGAAGAGAGAGAGAGAGAGAGAGAGAGAGAACCTTTTGCCGGAGTTAAAGGTAAAGGTAAGCTTGAGCCCAGTCTCCATCTGAATTACCATTCTCTTTTCTGGACAGTGAGAAAAAGAAAGGGAGCAGAACCAGCATATTATTTTCTGGACTCTCTGTAAGTTACCTTAACCTATTATATCCTGTAATCTTTAAATCAGTAAAACAATTATTACTGTACCCATTTTACAGAAAAGGAAGTCGAGCCTTAGAGAAGTGAAAACATGCAGCCAGGAAGATAGTAGAGCCAGAATTTAGAAACCCATCTCTCTCCTGTCCGCCACACTGCCTCTCTAGCCTTACTGGGTGGTTGCCAGAATTTACTGAGTGCTTGGGTTGCCCGTTCCACTGTAAGCGCCAGCCTCCCGGGCCCATTCCAGTTGCTTTTGTTTGGTCCCTTCTTGGTCAGTGGTAGGCTAAGTTGTCCAAGTCCTCCCCACCGCTGGTTCTTGGGGACATCAGGAACGTCTAAGCCACTGAGTCGGGGTGGACTTTAGGTTGACAAGTTGCCAGAATTCAGAGAAGCTTCCCCCACCCTAAGTGACTAACAAGCAACAGGCTGGTCAACAACAGCAAGAGCAGCACCTGCCCTGATTCGCCCCTGGGTGTCTCCCCAGGTGCCGAGACTTGCTGGGCTGCAGCCTCCTGCTCACCCACCCTCTCTTATTCCTGCCGTCATGCCCCATCGTCCTCCTTTCTCCAGCAGGTGGCATTTCCCCCAAGATCTAATCCCTTGAAGCAGAAGAGCATGCTGCAAAGTGTGCGATGGGATTGTGTTTCTTGTTAGGCCAGTGCCACGTCCCCCTTGGTGGTTGGATGCTTGGCCACTGCTTCTGGTGTCCTTAGTGGGACAGCAGCATCCATTCTTAAGGTCTTCATGGTACAAGATGGTACTTGGTAAACTCAGACGTGGGCAGATAGGTGAGAAACACACATTTGCTACTTGCCACATTGAGTAAAACATTTTGCATATATTATTTATTTATTTATTTTATTTTTTTGAGTTGGAGTCTCACTCTGTTGCCCAGACTGGAGTGCAGTGGCACGCTCCCTGCCACCGCAGCCTCGACCTGCTGGGTTCCGGCGATCCTTCCACCTCAGCCTTCCAAGTAGCCGGAATTACAAGCATGCACTACCACGCCCGGCTGATTTTTTGATTTATTGTAGAGATGAGGTCTCACCAAGTTGCCCAGGCGGGTCTCGAACCGCAAGCTCAGGCAATCCACTCACCTCAGCCTCCCAAGGTGCGAGATTACAGGCTAAACCACCGAACCTAGCTTATATTTCTTAATACAGAATTATATGTAAAATGTACAGAATCATTAGCTATAAAGAGTACAACAATTCTTTTTTCTTTTTTTTTTTTTTTGAGTTGGAGTCTCACTCTGTCACCTAGGCTGGAGTGGCGTGCCACACTCATGGCCACTCCAGCATCGACCTGCTGGGCTCCAGTGATCCTTCTGCCTTAGTCTTCCAAGGAGCCAGAACTACAGGCGCGTGCTACCACTCCCGGCTTTTTTTTTGTAGGGACGGGGTCTCATCAAGTTGCCCGGGCTGGTCTTGAACTCGTGGGCTCAGGCAATCCACTCGCCTCAGCCTCCCAAAGTGCTGGGATGACAGGCTGAGCCACCGAGCCCGGCCCATCCTTTTTTTTTTTTTCCAAACATATTTTGCACAGACATGTGTTGCCCTTCGATTAAATTTATATGACTTTTTTCTCTTTCTTATTTTTTAAAAAAATGAAACATCTTTTTTGGGATGAGCTTTGAAACAGTAGACTGATTGATTTTGATTGATTTTAGAAACAAGGAGTGCAGTGCCATGATTATAGCTTACTGCAGCCTCAACCTCTTGGGCTCAAGGGATCCTCCTGCCTCAGCCTCTCAAGTAGTGGAGACTACAGGTGCGGGCCACTACAATGGGCTAATATATATCTTTATTTTTGTAGAGATGGGACCTCGCCATGTTGCCCAGGCTGGACTTGAACGCCTGACCTCAAGCACTGGGATTCCAGGTTTGAACTGCCGTGCCCGGCCCTCCCTTCCCTGTATCCTTTGGCCCTCCTCTCTTTCTTTCTTTCTTTTTTTTTTTTTTTTGAGTTGGAGTCTCACTCTGTTGCCCAGACTGGAGTGCAGCAGCTGCTCCCAGTCACCGCAGCCTCGACCCGCTGGGCTCCGGCGATCCTTCCGCCTCAGCCTTCCGAGTAGCTGGAACTACAGGCGCGTGCTACCACGCCCGGCTGATTTTTGATTTATTGTAGAGATGACGTCTCGCCAAGTTGCCCGGGCGGGTCTTGAACCCGCGGGCTCAGGCAATCCACTCACCTCAGCCTCCCAAAGATGTGGGATTACAGGCTGAGCCACCGAGCCCGGCGTCTCCTCTCTTTCTATACTTGCCTAACGTGAGACATATTCAGAATAAGACCTTGTGAACTTCCACTCTTTTAGCTCAAAATGTACTTTGGAGAGGAACTTGGGAAAGTTAACCCCTGAGCCAGCTCCGATCCAAAGGTTCCTGAAGAACCCCGATAGCTGCCTTTGTTCCTTTGTAGGAAAAGGTGACATCGAAGTCAGTCCTTTAAACAGATACATACGTGATGAAGTCATCGCATGATCAGATACGGCAGTGTTTGCCTGGGGCCCCTTGAACTCCTAAAATGCTGCTTTTTCTGTACAGAGCTTTGTGATGATGACCCACCAAGCATCACACACGCCAGCTTCAAGGCCTTGGCCTACAAGGAGGGGACCATGTTAGTCTGTGATTGCGAGGATGGCTTCCGCAGACTGAAGCGAGAGTCGTCCTACATGCGCTGCACGGGAAACTCCAGCCATTCCTCCTGGGACAGCCAGTGTCGCTGTGCAAGCTCCTGTGAGTGGCTTCCTTCGTAATGACCAAGGGAGAGGCAAACGCAGCCGAGAGTGAGACGGGCCCACGGGCGAGCCCGTGGGCATCGCGAGCGAGAAATGCCCCAGGCTGGGCGATTTCTTAAGAAAAGAGGGTTACCTGGCTCACGGTTCTGCATGGCGCCGGCATCCGCTGGGCTTCTGGTGAGGCCTCGGATGTTTAGCGTCATGGCAGAAGGGGAGGGGAAGCAGGCGTGTCACCTGGAGAGAGCGGGAGCGAGAGTGAGGAACAGGCACTTTTATTTATTTGTTTTCTAAATTTTTTTCTGAGTCAAGGTCTCACTCTGCACCCAGGCTGGAGTGCAGTGGCCGCTCCCGGCCACCGCAGCCTTGACCTGCTGGGCTGCAGCGATCCTTCTGCCTCAGCCTTCCAAGCAGCTGAAACTACAGGTGTGTGCCACCACACCCGGCTAGGTTTTTTGTTTATTGTAGAGATGAGGACTCGACATGTTGCTCAGAATGGTCTCGAGCCCCCGAGCTCAGGCAATTCTCTTGCCTCTGCCTTCCAAAGTGCTGGGATTATAGGCGTGAACCACTGGACCTGACCTAAAAAGAGTAGGCTCTTTTAAATGGCCAGCTCTCAAGGCCCATGCAGTGGCTCGCTCCTGTAATCCCAGCATTTTGGGAGGCAGAGGCAAGAGGATTGCCTGAGCCCGGGGGTTCGAGACTAGCCTGAGCAACATCATGAGACTTCAACTCTACAATCAATTTAATAAAGTAACCAGGCATGGTGGCTCGTGCCTTTAGTCCTGGCTATTTGGAAGGCTGAAGGGGAAGGATGGCCTGAGTCCAGGAGGTTGAGGCTGTGGTGAGCTGTGATCTGTGCCACCGCCCTCCAGCCTGGGTGACAGAGTGAGGCTCTGACTCAACTAAAGATACATACACACATTTCTAGCAGTTCTAATGGGGGAATCACTATCCACTTTCCATTAGGCTGAATTAGCCCCTTGTTTCTTTTCTTTTCTTTTTCTTCTTGGTCTCCCAGCTCTCACACCCTACTGCCACATCTTGAGACTTCAACTCTACAATCAATTTAATAAAGTAACCAGGCATGGTGGCTTGTGCCTTTAGTCCTGGCTATTTGGAAGGCTGAAGGGGAAGGATGGCCTGAGTCCAGGAGGTTGAGGCTGTGGTGAGCTGTGATCTGTGCCACCGCCCTCCAGCCGCCCTCCAGCCTGGGTGACAGAGTGAGGCTCTGACTCAACTAAAGATACATACACACATTTCTAGCAGTTCTAATGGGGGAATCACTATCCACTTTCCATTAGACTGAATTAGCCCCTTGTTTCTTTTCTTTTCTTTTTCTTCTTGGTCTCCCAGCTCTCACACCTGCTGCCACATCTTGTTGAATGAATGCAAAGATCCGAGCTCCGCCCCATGCACCTGGCAGTGTAGAACCCTGAGGCGACGCTGTGAGCCCCCCACCCCCTTTTCAGTGACATCTCGGCAACCCTAAGGAATGCACTCGGGAGAACACTGAGGCAGTGGAAGGGATTTCCCCCCAGATGAGGGTCACAGAAACGCGTGCTACCGAGTTCTAGAGTCTTCTCTGTTGCCAGCGTTTTGCGTGCTGGGTTCCATAGTGGCTTTCGGGATTTCTTGGGGGAAATGTATTGTCAAGAAGGAAGTGTGATCTGTCCAGGTCTTCCCCAGCTCGGGTCGGGAGCAGGCAGCTAGAGCACAAGGATGTCCCCAAAGACCCCCGTGCTCCCCAAGGGTGGCTGCCTTTTGCTCCACTCTGCAAGGCCTTTGGGTGCTGAAGGCCTTTGGGCACTGGGGGTGGGGTCAGGAGGGAGGAAGGAGCCCCAGGTGGAGCAGGCCGGCATTGGATGGGTCTACCCAGCAGCACGAGGGAAACCGAGGCAGGGACGGTTGTTCACATCCATTTTTTTTTTTTTTTTTGAGTTGGAGTCTCACTCTGTCACCCAGGCTGGAGTAGCACACTCACAGCCACCCCAGCATTGACCTGCTGGGCTCCGGCGATCCTTCCACCTCAGCCTTCCAAGTAGCTGGAACAAAAGGCACACACCACCATGCCCAGCTAATTTTTTTATTTACTGTAGAGACAAGATCTCACCAAGTTGCCTGGGCTGGTCTTGAACCCATGGGCTCAGGCAATCCTCTCACCTCAGCCTCCCAAAGTACCAGGGTTATAGGCGTGAGCCATCGTGCCCAGCCCACATCCATTTACAAAAAAATCTGGACATCAAAACTGTGGCTTGAGAACCTTGTGGTCCCCTGAGTTGGATGTCATGGGAGTCAGCGGACTGCCCCCATGCTTTCTAAGCCCAAGTTGACCTGATACTGAGATTTTGCTGTTGAAGTTTCTCTCTTGAATCCCAAGGCCTTTCTCATACAGTCACACTCCCCTGCTAGATCACCTACACTCTGCAATATAAGAATATAGGAAATAGAGGCTGGGGGTGGGGGATCACGCCTGTAATCCTGGCACTTTGGAAGACCGAGGTGGGAGGATTGCTTGAGCCCAGGAATTCAAGACCAGCCTGGGCAACATAGTAAGACCTCGTCTCTACAAAAAAATTAAAAAATTCGATGGGCATGGTGGCGTGCCTCTTTAGTCCTAGTTACTCAGGAGGCGGAGACGGGAGGATCACTTGAGTCCAGGAGGTAGAGGCCGTGGTGAGCTGTGACTGTGCCACTGCACTCCACTCAGGTAACAGAGCGAGACCCTGACTCAAAAAACAAAAACAAAACCTCGAGATGGGGTCGCTGGGTGAGCCGTGTGTCCCCTTTCCCACCCACCCCAGGTATGACTGCAGCCTGAAAGCCACTACCCACTGAAGCCCCTCCTGGACGATTTCCCCATAGACCCCCTGCTTTGTCCTGAACTGGAATTCCGAACCCCCCTCATGAGGGCACTCACACTCAACTCCTTTGCCTACCTCTTCGCACTGGAGGAAGCTCTTCTGGAAGGCTCCCTGTGGCTGCTTTAGGATTGCACGTCTTCCACTTTCTGCGTTCTGAACTGCTTTAGGGGCACAAGGGATTCGGGGGGCTGTGGAGGGAGGCCATTCCTAATTGCTGTCACACGCATACCCACGCGCAACGTTGACCAAATTGATGGCAAGGAAGGAGGTCCTTTGGGTGGGAAATGCACACACACACACATACACACACACACACACACAAGATATTCTGCCTGAAAACCTTCCTTTTTTTTTTTTTTGAGTCGGAGTCACACTCTGTCGCCCAGGCTCACGGCCACCACAGCCTGGACCTGCTGGGCTTTGGCGATCCTTCCGCCAGCCTTCCGTTTTTTAAGAAACACGTCGCGGCATGGCCGTCATGCACATGAACAACAAGAGGCCAGGGCCGGGGGGTGGGGGCAGCATGAGCAGGCCCTACCCACAGGAGGGCATCTGCGGGGCTCAACTTTGTGGCCCCAGGACCCGGACACCGCCAGGCCCAGCATGGGTGCTAGGCAGACGCTCTTCTTGAGTAAGTGACCGAATGTTCTGTGGTAAGCATCCGTGACGCGATCGGCTTCATTCTGTCATACTTTCTAGCCCCTAGGAACACAAAGAAGCAGGTCACAGCTCAGCCTCGAGACCAGAAAGAAGGAAAATCCACGGAAATGCAAAGTCCGAGGCAGCCTGTGGACCCAGCGGACCTTCCAGGTAAGCGATGAATGCCTCTGAGCAGCTGTCCTCCGGTCAACTCCTGGGAGCCGACCTTCTCTTGCCTGTAGGGACGTGTCCCCAGAGGAGAAGGGTCTGTCCCCTGGCTCTTGAGCGCATGCCTTTCATTCCCCGCTTCCCAGGGTGTCATGTGGACGAGGCCTTTTGCAGGGTGCTTTTGGCTGTTTGCTCAGCCTCCCAAACCAACTCGGGCCTGGGCTTCCTCCCGGGCTTGGCAGCTGGCAGGATCAAATCTGACTCAGTTCAACTCAGAAGCATGTTGGAACTCACTGTGGCCCAGACTCTGCAGACAGAAGATACAAACAAGAGAAGACAACGGTCCCCGCCCTCAGGGACACAGCATTTTTCCTTCAAGGACAAGACAATGTGCTTCAAGCAAAACTGTCTACCTCCAGGCGTTTCTCGTAGGGTCCAGAAAACCACCTCTGGACTCCTGGGCAGTGAGTGAGTGAGCACGGGGACAACTGCCCCTTGCCTGTCCTCAGCCTTCCCAAGTGGATCGTTCTGAAGTTATGACATCAAGAAGAACTAGAGCCCGCTGGGGAGAACTGGGCTCTTTCAGGACCAGCTGACCTTATGAGACCTGTCATCGTGTGCTAAATTTATGAGCTCACAAGGAATTTTATCATAGATCATCGCGACCAAGCCCACAATCCAATGAGTCAGGGAGCAGGAAGTCTGTCTTCAACTTACTGAGAAAACTGAGACACAGGAAGTTAAAAGACATGACTAGACAGAGCAGGACCGGAGCAGGCCGGGTCTCCTGGATGAGAGGAGGCCTCTTCCTACCGATTTCTTACTTTGAACGAGTTTGAATTTATTTCCAGTTTCCACTATTGTGAAAAACAGCCTAATCCAGGGCATAGTGGCAGCACAGGGTTGTTGTCCCTGTATCCCTCCAACTTTGTCCTGGAACGATGCCTCCACACACGTGTCATTGATTTGTTTCTCTCTGCCTCCTCTGCGTCACCCTCCCTGATTTCTGGCAGGTTCCAGGGAGGTTTGTGTGTGGGGCCCTTCCTCAAGGGGCCACCGGCTGGTCTGGCTGATGGCTGTTTCCCAGATTGTCTTAGTGTGTGCAGGATTTCACTTGAAAGACGCAGACCCCGTCCCAATAGGCTCAGACCGTCAGGAAGTGCATCGGCGGGCCAGCCATGTTTTATTCTGAGACGAAAACACAAGCTCAGTCGTGATGTGGAAAGTGCTACATTGCAGAGGCCGGCTTGGGACAGGGTCCCTCCACTTCCTGCTGGAGCCGAGGGCTTCTGGGGACACTCACAGAGGGTATGGGGGTACGCTGGCTAGGGAGGGCCTGGAGGTCAGAGGGCACGTGCCGTTTCCCAGCCTAGGGCTGGAGGGCACACACAGTTCCACAGGTCCAGATAGGGGATGGCAGGAAGGATGCTGAGATTAGATCAGAGCAGGACATGCTCTTTGGGTTTTCATCGAGTGAGTGGAAAGTTACTGGGCATGGGAGCTGTTGAGAGGTCTTGCAGCGCTCATGCGGGCCAGACTTCAGGCATGGCTTGATCAGAGACCATGCGCCACTTCTCTGAGATCCCTGAGTTTTTCCCTGCTTCTGGCTTTGGCTTTGTCCCCAGTCCTTTCACCACAGTCCCCAGATGGCCACCAGCCACCCGCCGAGAATGTGCTTCTTCCATCATCCAGTGGAAATCCAAGGTGGCTTTCGTGCTTCCTTCGCCCAGATGGGCTTGAACTTGGCCCAGATGGGCTCGAACTTGACTCAGATGGGCCTGAACTTGCTCTTCGGCCCCCGCTGAGACCGCCCTGAGCACTTATCAGGACCCTCGATGGCTTCACGAGCCGGCCCCGGCATGTCCTCTTCCCGAGGCAGCACCAGTCGGAACGGGTCGCTCACTCCTCCGGCTCCCGCAGCAAGCATCTTCTGCCCCCAGTCCTCACCGCGTCTTTTCACCCAGCTGACTTTTCGCCCCTCGCAGGAGCGATGGGGTCTTCATGCCATCCCCCAGGGTCTAGCGGGCTTCCTGACACACAGACGTTCTCAAGGCATTGGTTGAGTGGAAGAGTGAACGGACGGATGGACCAGATCAGAACCAAGGTCCTGCCTCCAGCAAGAGGCGCCCGGGCCCGCTCACAGCCCTCTCTCCAGGTGGCGCTCAGAATGCCCCTTCCCTCCCCAGGTCACTGCAGGGAGCCTCCCTCGTGGGAACACGAAGCCCAGGAGAGAACGTATCAGTTCGTGGTGGGGCAGACGGTTCACTACCGGTGCGACCAGGGCTACAGGGCCGTCCGGAGGGGTTCTGCCCAGAGCATCTGCGAAGTGGCCCACGGGAAGACCAGGTGGACCAGGCCCCGGCTCACGTGCCAAGATGAGACGGAGCCCGATCAGCTTCCAGGTAGGACGGCTCCCTCCTGGGGACCACTGCGGTGTTGGGTCGACCAGGGTGGAACCCCCGACTTCACCTGCCACGGGACTTTGGGCAAGCCCCTTAATCAACTTGGCCTCCATTTTTTTCTCAACCATTTTCTTGGGGGAGTCACAGTCACCCAGGCTGGAGTGCAGTGGTGTGACCACAGCTCCCTACAGCATTGATCTCTTGGGTTCAGGTGATCCACCGGCCTCAGCCTCCTGAGTAGCTGGGAACTATAGGTGTACGCCATCACACTCAGCTAATTCTTTCACTTATTGTAAAGACAGGGTCTCACCAAGTTGCCCAATCGGGTCTTGAACCCCAGGGCTCAGGCAATCCTCTCACCTCAGCCTCCCAAAGGGCTGGAATTACAGGCATGAGCCACCATGCCTGGCCCACCATCTTCCTTCTGGAATCTTATGAATATTTCAACAATCAGAAGCCACTTATGTGGAACCATAAGTGTTCCTGGCCACTCTTACATCTCATATCCCGTGTCTTCCTCTTGGGCCCTGGCGATGCTGCCTCTCTCCGTCGGCCTGTCTCCCGCGGGCCACCCTGCCAGCTCCGTGACAGGCCAGGACAGGGCAGGGCACGGCGGGAGGGGGTGGCCTACCGCACCCAGAGGCAGGAGAGCCCCCTGCGGGAAGCTCCTGTGTACACGGCAACTCCATCTAGTGACTCAACCGCGTTGGGATTCTTTGACCATTCCCAAGTCTCGTGTGGACACCAGAGCTGAGGAGGAAGCCCGGGGAAAGCGCTGCTCAGAGATTCACGGACAGTCTAGGTCTGGGCTCGAATTCCCTCGAGCCTGCTCTGCTGAGGTCATGCAGTCACTTCCCAGTGACCTTGACATGGCCTCCCCAGAGATGTGCCCAAGCCAGGACTCCTGCATCCACGGGGGTATCTAGGGCCGGCAGCTGAGGCAGGTGGGGCCGGAGTGAGCCTCCCGTCGCCTGCCCAGCCCCTCAAGCGTGGCTGACTCTTCTCTCCAGGTGAAGAGGAGTTTCCCACAAGCCCCAGTCTTGCTGAGAGTCAGACTTCCCGTGCCATCACAACAGGTACGGGGACGTTTCCGTGAACACGAAGGCTTGGCCATAAGCCCAACCAGAAGGGCAGGTTCTGGACCCACAGGCAGGGGTGACCCACCCGAGGCGGGAAGCCTCACCAACCTCCCCTCACCAGAGCAGGGTCAGGGTCTCAGCGACCTGCACACCCCAAAGCCAGCGTCAGAAAGAGGAGACCCAGACAGGGGTGGCCTCCCTCGGCAGAAGACGGACCGCCTGAGCCCAGCCCCCTCCTTCCCACCAGCCTCTGTGTTTCTAATCCCCTGAGAGGCCTTGCCTCCCTCCACCAGCCTCCAGCCTCCTGTGGTTCTAAAGTTCCCATAACCTGGGTGTCGCCCACCTCCCCGCTCTTTTTCTCAGATTTTCCAGAGCAGACAGAAGCAGCCACAACCGCGGAGAACATATTAACAGCGGACTACCAGGTGGCAGGTGGGTGGGGCGCTTTCTCTGTGGACACGAGGCACACCAGGCCGAGACGTGGCCAGCTTGGTTGTTGGGGAAAATGTCCTCTCCTTACACGACAGAATGTCTATAAGAGGAAAGACGGATCCAGGTACCAACCCCACTCACAAGCCCACGCGTCGCTCACGGTACGTCGTGAGTGAAGCCTCAAGCCAGCCGCACCCGCTGAGCTGATCTGGAAGGACAGTGTCCCTCTGTGAGGAGCGGGGGAGGGGGAAAGAGGGGACAGTGTGACCAGGCAGAGAGAGGAAAACCTTCCAGAAACAGTCCAGCTGTTTCTTAAGAAAGGGAAAAGACAAGCTTTGAAAGCTGCATTGGCCTCAGTAAATAATTCAGAACCTCAGCAAAGCAGCATTTGGAAAACATGAACACAGTCAAGAGACATTCACGTGTTTACCGTTTACCTTCATATTTCGCTTTTTTTTTTTTTTGAGTTGGAGTCTCACTCCGTCGCCCAGACTGGAGTGCAGTGGCTGCAGCCTCGACCCGCTGGGCTCCGGCGATCCTTCCCCCTCAGCCTTCCAAGTAGCTAGAACTACAGGCGCACGCTACCACGCCCGGCTCATTTTTTGATTTATTGTAGAGACGGGGTCTCACCAAGTTGCCCAGGTGGGTCTTGAACCCACTGGCTCAGGCAATCCACTCACCTCGGCCTCCCAAGGTGCGGGATGACAGGCTGAGTCACCAAGCCTAAGCCCTGTCAACATTTTTTTTTTAAACCAGGCGCAGGCCTGGCTTGTGGCCCCCTTACACGAGGCTGGCCTCTGAACCTTCCTGAAGGGCCTGCCTGGAGGAAGAGGGTCTCCGAGGAGAGGCAGCCTCCCTCGTTCCCCCCACGCCTCGCCCGGCCCTCCCTGGTTCCTTGCGCCTCTGAGAAGACCCATGGGGAGGGACCGGCCTTCGGAGAAGGGGAAAGAGACACCGCGGCCTCCGCCTTGCTCTGGGCACGTTCTGGGGCTGCCACGTGGCCCTGGCCCCTGGGGCCTCCATGCCAAGCCCAGGGCCCCTTTGCTGACGGCCTCTCTCTTGACAGTGGCCGGCTGCGTCTTCCTGTTCGTCAGCGTTCTCCTCCTGAGCGGCCTCACCTGGCAGCGGAGATGGTGAGTCCAACATGGCCACGGGGGGCTCGCAGAGAGCAGAGCCGGCGGGGACCTGGCCAGGCTTGTCCCTTGCCGGCTTGCCCCTTGCCCACCCCTGCCCCGAAGCCTCACTCAGCCCCCAGAGTCCCAGGGAAACGGGAGAGCAGACTGACTCACCGAGCCTTGGGAACAGCCAAGGCCTAGAGAGACCAGCCCTGGAGCAGATGACACAGCAGAGCTGGCCCTGCAGCCTGGATCCGAAGCCTAGGGACTTCCTGTCCATCACCCTCCTGGAGGGGGCCAGGCAACGTCTACACTGAGCTTGTCCTGTCCTGTGCCCCACCCCACGTCCTCCCACGCTGACACAGCCGGCCCTCGATCAGGAAGGCAAACCGTGTACAGTCTTATTTCCGTTAAGTCAGATTCTCAGCCCTAAGTGTGTCTGAGAACAACCAGGAGAGATTCTTCTAAAAGACCAATGCAATTCTGTAGAAATGGCAGGGGAAGTCTGGGTGTGGTGACTCACCCCTGTAATCCCAGAACTTTGGGAGGTCAAGGTGGGAGGATTGCTTGAGCCCAAGAGTTGGAGACCAACTCGGGCAACATAGCGAGACCTTGCCTCTACAAACATTTTTTTCAAAAAATTAGCCAGGCGTGGTGGTGCATACCTGTAGTCCTAGCTACAAGGGAGGCTGTGTCAGGAGGCTTGCTTGAGCCCAGGAGTTTGAGGTTGCGGTGAGCCACGATTGTGTCACTGCTCTTCAGCCTGAGCAACAGAGTGAAACTCTAACTCAAAAAGAAAAAAAAAATTGCAGAGGCAGTCCAAAGGGTGTGCTTCTCCTGTGGCTCAGTCTTATTCCATAGCCGTGACATCTTTTAATAGAGATTTATAAGGGGAGAATCGTGTCACCAAAACCACTGTGACCCACTTTGGGTTTTGTTGTTGCTGAGACAGGGGTCTCGCCATATTGCCCGGGCTGGTCTTAAACTCCTGGTCTCAAGAGATTCTCCCCCCTTGACCTCCCAAAGTTCTGGGATTACAGGTGTGAGCCACCATGTCTGGCCTGGCCCTGCAATTTCTACAGAACTCCCACAGATCTTGCCAAAGTGCTGGGATGACAGGCAGGAGCCTCACTTTGAATGTGGGAGGACTCTTCACTCAGCACCAGCAGAGCGCATTTATTGCAATAAGAACTGTTTCCGTGGCTTATCCAGGTTGCTCAGCCAAAATAGAGTAGTAATTTCAAAAGTGAAAAAAAAAAAATCCAATGCCTGGGCTCGAACCAGAATTTCTGAGGGTAGTTCTCAGGTGTCAGTACTCCATTTTTTTTTGTTGTTGAGTTGGAGTCTCACTCTGTCACCCAGACTGGAGTGTCGTGGCTGCTCCCGGCCACTGCAGCCTCGACCTGCTCGGCTCCAGTGATCCTTCCGCCTCTGCCTTCCAAGTAGCCAAAACTACTATAGGCGCACGCTACCACGCCCAGCTAATTTTTTTGATTTATTGTAGAGATGAGGTCTGGCCAAGTTGCCCAGGTGGGTCTCGAACCCGCGGGCTCAGGCCATCCACTCGCCTCGGCCTCCCAAAGCGCTGGGATTGCAGACTGAGCCACCGAGCCCGGCCAGTACTTCATTTTTAATAGAGATAAAACTCATCACCTACCCACTATGGTGTGTACAGTGTAGTGGTGTCTTTACTTTGTGCTGCTGTAACAGAATGCCTGAGACTGGGTCATTTCTAAAGAGCGGAGATGTATCCCTTACAGTTCCGGAGGCTGAGAAGTTCAAGGTCGAGGGACCCTCATCTGGCAAGGACCTTCAGGCTGTGTCATCTCGTAGCAGAAGGTGGGAGGGCAGGAGAACGGGAGGGAGCCAGGGATGGGGGCATGAACCCTTCCCATGACAGCAGCACCAGGTCCTCCACGAGGCCGAACCCTCACGCCCCAGCGCCCTCGTGAAGGCCCCACCTCTCAACACCACTGCGCGGAGATGAATTCCCAACACGTGAACTTTGGGGGACACTCACCTAGCAAGTGGTATTGAGTACGTTCGCAGTGTTGTGTGGCCATCACCACTGATTCCAGAACGCTTTCATCCCCTGCAAAAGACGTCCCATCCTGCCCAAGTCTCCACTCTCCCCAGCCCCTGGCAACCACTACTCTGGGACATTAGTGTTTTGTTCTGTTTTTGAGTCAGAGTCTCCCTCTGTCTCCCAGGCTGGAGTGCAAGGGCATGTTCACGGCCACCGCAGTCTCGACCTGCTGGGCTCAGGCGATCCTTCTGTCTCAGCCTTCCAAGTAGCTGGAACCGCAGGCATGCACCACCACAGCTAGCTAGTTTTTTAACTTTTGGTAGAGACAAGGTCTCGCTATGTTACCCAGGCTGGTCTCAAGTGATCTTCCCGTCTTGGCCTCTCCAAGTGCTGGATTACAGACATAGGCCACTGTGCCTGGATTTTTTTGAGTCGAAGTCTCATACTGTTGTCCAGGCTAGAGTACAGTGGGAAGCTTATGGCCACCGCAGCCTTGACCTGCTAAGCTCAGTTGATCGTTCTGTCTCAGCCTTCCAAGTTATTGAATTACAGGCGTACGCCACCACACCTGGCTAATGTATTATAGAGATGAGTTCTCACCATGTTGCCCAGGCTGATCTTGAACCCCTGGGCTCAGGCAGTCCTCTCGCCTTGGCTTCCCAAAGTGCTGGGATGACAGGTGTGAGCCACTGTGCTCTGCCATTGGTGCTTTTGTGAAGTCCCTCAGATGGATCTAACACAGCTGCACTTCAGTTGACAACCCTGAACCAGGCCATTGGTTTTCCAACTTGAGTGTGCATCAGAACCACCTAGAGGGACACAAGGAGATGATCCATGTTTGGGACGATGGACGTGCCCATTTCCCTGGTCTGATCACTAGACATTGTATGTATCAAACATCACTATGCACCCCATGAATATGTGCCGTGATTTTTTGGCAACTTAAAAAAAGTATTGTTAAAAAATCATCTGGACACTGGGCGCAGGGCTCACGCCTATCATCCCAGCACTTTGGGAGGTGAAGGCACGAGGATTGCCTGAGTCCAGGGATTCAAGACCAGCCTGGGCAATTTGGTGAGACTTCGTCTCTACCATAAATTAAAAAATTAGCCGGGCGTGGTAGTGCACGTGCCTGTAGTTCCAGCTACGTGGAAGACT